TTTGGTTTTTTTTTTTTTTTTTTTTTTTTTTTTTTTTTGGCTCTTGGTGGCTCCCAATGAGCAGTAAAGTTATATACATACCCCTTGATACAAACCAAAGACAAAGGTTATAGGAGTGAATGTCAGGTTGCCATGACCGATACGACATATCGAGAATTAGGTCTACATAGTCCGTTTTACCAGTGGCTCCGCCACAGTCGAGTGAAAACCACTAAAATAGCGTTGAAAGTATGCGGGAAATACTAGGCTTCTGGACTAAGGAGATTTCTTCAAAATCCCTTGCAAGCAGCCACAGACGCCTTCTTGCGGGTGAGACCCTCACGTTCCTGGGATCATCATATTCGATCCCAGAATCCATAGCATAGTTCCCAGGGACAAGCGGATCCTGGGAGTGCTGTACGTTGTTACCGCAGCGTGTGCTCCTCGGATGCTATCACTAGCCCCAGGAGACATAATGCTACATAGATCATTTTTCTTTGAGCCATCATTGCTATTTATATTAGAATGGCCCATCTGGCAGAGAAAGTATGTCACTTATAGTCATCTAGATACATGTTTTTATTTTCATATTTTCATGCTAGGGCCCAACTCGTCAATCCATCCAAAAAGGCTTTTCTAGCAGCCCCCAACCATGCCTTCTCACTTGGATCCAGAAGAACCAGGGTTGGCACCAGAGCTGCCACCAATGCCTGTATTAGGATTGGTAACGCCGGGCGCAGGAGGGCCTTCATGAAGTCGAACGTTCTCCAATAGATCGTCAATACTGAGGGCAGCTTCAGTTTCAGCTCGGCATTCGGCTTTTTTATCTTTATAGCAGTCGTCATAACATTGGTTGCGAGGCTCTTTCTGCTGTATCACATAACATATTTCATGGCAAAAAGTGCTCGCCTCGGGGCTGCCTGTATTTCTAGTTAGAGGTATGTTTCTTATTGTAGTGCATGGATTATAAGCATGAATATACAAGAAGGGATAGTGATCCAATCGCCTGATGTATCGTTATTGGGGTCGCGTGGCTTGATAGGAGAAGCCGTCACCAAGGATGTGAGGAGGATGATGGTAGAAGCTAGCTTGAACAACATCTTTATAGGTCTTGAGGTTGTGGAGGTGAGAAGTTGTCGTTTGTGGCAGATGCTGGATCGTTTGCATTGGACATCTGGGGGGAATTGAGGACATTTATATAGACCGTTCGGTTGGCTTGAGCAGGTACCAAATACTACTGCCCAGGTGGTAGCACCGATGTGAATTAAACACAATGGAAAGATGAGCTGCAGCTCGAAGTGACATGTCAGTTCACCGATCAGGTTTGATGATTCTCATTTTGGCCCAAGGCCAAGCGAGGCGGTGCTCGACAACATCCCCACGCACAATAATTCCCTAGTCTATTATTATCTTCGGCGCATGGTTGATCCTGTGTAGGCCATAACTGTTCGCCTTGTCGAATGGACAAAAGTTAAGCTGAAATGTAGGAATGGGCGAGTGCTAAAGAGACCAATGATACCGATCAGTTCTATTAGTTATCGTGACAGTTTAACACCACTCTAATTCCCGAGGTGTACCGATCAGTTCTATTAGTTATCGTGACAGTTTAACACCGCTCTAATTCCCGAGGTGTTTTCTACCACAACGATTATTCCACTACAGCTTATCAACTTTAGTACACCATTGGCTTTTATCCTCCAACGCACTGTATTGTCGGCAACACGGACTCTAGAGGTGCTCAAAGCGATATAGCGATAGATCTACTCGTGAGTCGTATCTTAAACTTCAATTGTTCCTGATATATTATGACTAAATCAAAACACCAATGTCACTCTGTTTATCATACCTTTTCTGGTTTGCCAGCTAAAGGAAGGATAGCTTCTCGGATTCTCTTTATTAGCTGCTAATATATCGCTAGCAATCTCCCGTCCAATTCTTCACGATGAAATTTCTTAGGCCTCCTACCAAGGGTGAACAGGGTCCAAGCAGGAGGCGTTCCTCGACGATATTTTAGTACATGTACTTTATCAATTCCGGCGTTTTGATTAGCTACTATATTTAAGCCCCCAAGAAAATTAGCCCCAAGCATATCTTAGATCGATCTTCTATCTCCAAGCACCCTTGCCAAGGGTTGAAGAGGGTCTAAGGGTCCAAGGTAGCGTCTTCAAAAATGGATGATTAAAATCAATCACAGCACAGCCTCTGAAATATTTTGGTCGTTGCACGGCCAGCAAATTTGCGCGATCGCCCAGGAGATCCATCATTGTGTATCGTCTTTCCTCCGGGGTAAAGCGATGAGATACGCAGAGCTCTGTAAGGTCATATGAACGAGGTTTATGTGACCGTACGGGCGTGTATATAAGTAGTCTAGTACTCCCAGTCTAATACAAACCATGCGATCCTTTCTGAATCACAGCGATATTTATAGCGCTGGCATGGGCGCGCCCCACTGTTCCGTTTCGGTCCATGCATTTCGCCGCATTACTGTGTAGTCTGTCAAACTACCGGGTATGCCCATACGCTACGGTCTGCTCATACTCCCTAGTCTGCCCAGACCCCAGTCTGCTCATACTCTCATACGCCCCTGGTCTATCCAGACACTGCTCCTTTTTCTACATAGTATTACATCGAGAGTAAACTTGAAGTGATGCCAATAGTGCTTAGACTTAGGTCAGATGACTCCCAGTATTTCAAATGTCAAACCTCACTGCTCACTGCTTATTACAGCCCAAGCCAAAATCAGTGTCACCGCAACCATGGTACTGTATTAGGATTTATGCTATCTTTGAAAAGGACACAGTTTGTATCTTTAGGATTGTGAGAAGAACAGTATTGCATGTTCACAGTAGCGAAGGGTGAAGGGCTAGGTAGAGGCTAATACATCACAAATACACCTCATACGGTACATAATTTTATGAAATTAAATAAGAAGTAAAAATAAAAAAATGACCGCTGTGTCATTGTGTTTCCAAAGATTGATGAGAGGAGTTTTGTGGGCAAATCACGGCCATCTCTGGTAAAAGGCAAGAAATGGGTTCTGCACTAACTTGTCCCACTCCTCGGGTGGGTTTCCGTTATTTACTTTATAATATTGTCCCCTACTACTTTTGACTTGGCTACACACGGGAACGGTCGGAGTTCGAAACTCGGTTAATTCATTCATTCCTACATTTTGACCCCGCATATTAATTATTATTTTGAATTTAACGTCAGCTCGATTCAACTTCAAGATTCATTTATCAAGACATTTTAAAACTCTACAAAATGTCGTCTGCTGCCTGTATCTTCTGCAAAATCATCAAGGGTATGTCCCATCATTTATATGACTATATCTACACATTTCTATCGCAATGCCAATTCGACACGTAGCAAAATATGGATTGACTGACATACTTCCTTGGACTATACAGGAGATATCCCTTCATTGAAGCTCTTCGAGAGCGACAAGGTCTTCGCTTTCCTCGATATCCAGCCGCTGAGTCTTGGCCATGCGGTGCGTGTTATTCCCTACGATTCCTCTTCCCCGCATCCCACATGTTCCTCGTCGCGGGCGCCAGTGAAGTAACCGGAACTGCGGTGATAGCTCCAGCCAGCAATTCGTGGCCCATACTTCGAAAAAAGAAAAAGGAAATCAGACTGACAACATGAACAGCTTGTCATTCCTAAGTTCCACGGCGCAAAGCTGACTGATATTCCTGATGAGCACCTAACCGAGGTTTTGGTAAGTCGAGAGAACCCAGAAAGACGAAGAGGATGAAGAGGAGAGTCAATGTCTTCGAGCTCCGATTGAATTCGACCATATTTCTCTGAGGACCTTGGGGGCAATCTGCAAGGTCCCTCACTCGGAATTGGATTGGCGAACAGGGACATGGGCTAACCAAGATGTACACAGCCCGTCGCGAAGAACATTGCCAAGGCCAGCGGGGCCCAAGATTTCAATATCCTGCAGAACAATGGCCGCATTGCGCATCAGGTCGTTGACCATGTGAGTTTCAGTTGAGGGTCTCTAATAACTGTGACAGCGCTAACCAGCCTTTTCTAATAGGTCCACTTCCACATGGTATGCTCTACGATCTTTTGGAAATTTGCTCCTATGCTCGAAATAGCCTTCGAATCATACGCTAACAGGACAATAGATCCCAAAGCCCAACGAGAAGGAGGGTCTGACCATTGGCTGGCCTGCTGAGCAGGCGGACATGGCCAAGCTGAAGGCTCTTCACCAGGAGATCATGTCGAAGATGTAAACGGCTTTGGTTTAGATGAAACGAACTCAAGAACAATGGAGACCCAGTTGATTCTGTGCGTCGCCTTATGACTTAAAACATCGCTGTAAACTGTACACATTCTCCTGTTGAAGAAGGATCGTAGCGTTAGTTTGAGTAGATGAAACTATTACGAATTTAAAAGTAGGCTCATAGTCATTTGAGTCGATCCCATCAGGACCTGCTCCGTCCAATGTATACCAAAATGTCTGTATATCCTCTAGTTAACAAGAACCAAGTCTGTATGTTACACACATGCAAAATCAAACTCTAGATATCTAGCTCGTAAGCATGGAAATCAACAGCAAACACAGTACCTAACTCATGCACTCCGCGCAGCTTATGCTGATGTGCTCTCTGATTCCTTCCCCGAGTCAGGGTAGAAGTTAATCTTCCCACCACCCTGAACGATATTGAGTCTGTCGTAGAGCGAGCGAGCCCGGACATACGGGTCAAGAACCCAGTAATGCTTACGCAGCTGATCGATCAAGTTCTTCCGCTTCTCCTCGGCAGCAGATGCAGCGTCAGTCTCGTTCTTGAAGCTGGCGCGGATCCACTCAATGGTGGTATCCTGGATTTCCTTCGCGAGCTTTTGGCGCTCGGCCATCAGGGTATCACGCGTTTCCTTGTCGGCCATCTTGGGATTCTCGTTCTCAGGCACCTCGACGTATTTGTATTCCCAGTCTTCGTCGCCTTCAAGCTCTTTCATGATCTGGCTTGGGTGGATGAAGTTTTCAAGATCCTGGCGGTTTTTTGTGAAGTGGATCTTCGCTGCGACGACTGGGTCGAGCCAGCCCTTGATCACGGTCCAAATGCCTGCATTAGGGTTAGAAGGGGTTCTTTATATGGGGTGCTAGGATACGGACTTGAGAATAACCAAGGGGCCTTGTGGATGAGCACTGCTCCGAGAGACTCGGGATAGTTGGCTTCGAAGCACTTGATCATGAATTTCACGGGGGCGTAGTCCTAGGAGATATCAGTATATAGCGTGGGCCACAGTGAGACAAAACTCTTACCATGTTGGCCATGCCGAAGTCCGTCATATCAAAGATAATAGTCTGCAAGAGTCAGCTACCGAGATAAAATCCGGGGAATATCTTCATAACGGAATACTTACCGCAGTTTCAACTGGCGACGCAAGCAACAAACGTGCAGTCTCGATAGTATAAACAGTAAACCGCTCCAACCCTTCATTATCCTGATCACCTGCCTTATGCAAGCGCACACGGACAACACAGATCGGCCGACCAGCCCGATCAACACCGTGCAGGAAACTCTTACCCAGACGCATCTGCGTCAGGAAGTCGTCACCCTTCTTCTTCTCCTTGGGATTAGAGTCCTGCGACATCTTTACAGCCGACGCCTCACCGTTGAACATGATATCGTCGTCGACATGCATTTCCAGCAGTCGCCAGCGCATCGTGGAAATCAACATAACAAGCGCCTTCTTGGTATCCCACTTGCGCGCCCGCAGGAACCGCAGCAGCAGCGAGTCCGGGTTATCACCCTTCACCATGCTCCAGAACGCTGTCCGGATCTCCTCGGGCTTCATGTCCTCCAGCGCCTGCTTGAACTCCTTGGACTGGCCGTACTTGTCGTCGCCGTCGGTGATGCTGATTGAGGCTACACTAGCAGTGGTGCCGCTGCTGGAACCGCTTTTCGTGTCATCGTCGTCAGCGCGGCCCCAAATCCCCCACCGACTCTTCGGCTTCTTCTTATCCTGCGCTGGGGCGGGTGTTGCGGCATCGCTGGTGGTTGTGGACTGGGGGGCTTCGAGTTCTTCGAGTGTAAGGCCGAAGACTTTGAGTGTGAGGACCCAGAATTCCTTCAGCTTGACTTCTTGCTCTGGTGTGAGGTTCCCGACTGTTCCGGGGGCGGGTTCGGCGGGCATCGTCGCGAGGGTATCGATTACTCCGAGGGAGGGTTTTTGAGGAAGTTGGGCTTGCGAAGTAATTGTATCTTCGGGATTGAAGTATCTGTTCTGGAGCCAAGCGCCTCCTCCAACGATAGCGAGAGTAAATGTGAGGGTCCAAAAAGATGAAGCCTTCTTTGGTTCTGGGTATGTGGAGAATGGCCGCGCGAATGAGTACCGAGCGACAGGGAACTTCGCCGAAAGATAGAGACGGCGTAGGATAGGACCACGCATAAGCAGTATAATTGAGGTGATATGTTGGAATGAGTGAGCATAGGTCTTAGCCCTGGGAGGGAAGAAAATGCGAGAGCGGAATCAAGGATATGACGATGCGGGGAAGATCGTCCCTAAGATGTAATAGTTTATGATAAATTAATCCGAGGTATTTATTTCTATTTACTTCGAGTCCACCTAATATATATTATACAATCCGGTTCTCACCTCAAAGTTGCAAGTATAAAAGTGTCGCGTGAGAGATCTTTCCGGGGAGAGATCAACACTGCCAAACACAACCCACTCAACATCACTCTGACAACCATCCACTACCAATAACGACGCCTACCATCCTCGGCCTATTATCTCTCATAAATACTCCCGATCGCATTCTCAAACACATCACAGACATGGACGCACCTCAATCATCCTCGCGCCCGAGACCCTCCTCCAGGCCCACAACCCCTCTACGCCCCAGCTCGCGCTCTTCATTACGGGAGGCCCACGGATATGGAAACAGCATTGGAAATGCAGGATACGCACAACCTGCCATCAATGCCTTGGAGCCGCAGTTTGCTGAGCTGGCCGATTCGATGGCGGACCTTGAGGCCAACTTCATGCACTTGCAGCTGATGCACGAGAGCTTGACGCGCTTCAGTGAGAGTTTTGCCAGTTTTCTCTACGGATTGAATATGAATGCATTCTGTGTGGATTTCCCAGAGGTATGGTCGCAGACGCGTCGCCGACAGTTGTGGTAGTGGTGATAGCGCGCGACAGGGTTGCTGATTCGTTCGATGCAGGCTCCGATTCCAGACTCGTTCAAAAAGGCTAAGCAAGAAGAAGAAGAAGAAGAAGAAGAAGAAGAAGAAAAAGGTACTACGAGGGCTCTCTGTGGGAATTACCTAGATGCGGTGAATCGGGTTGCTAACAGCCATCCAGAGACGGAAACAGGACCAACACGACCAATTGATGACGGCGAGATGACCTTTATGTGAGTCTAGAAAGCGATGCGACAAATCCCTACATGACACTTGAGCTAATGGGTTCTTACGCTACAGGACTACGGACACGACTTTTGTGGAGAATCCCTCGAGCACTACTCCCTCCTCTAGACCGACATCCAAGTATGCTGCAGGCTCACGAGTATCGTCGCGTGGCACTGCCCGTGGTGCAGCAACAAGCCGGTATACTACACGAGGCACTACGCGCGGCACTCGTCCTAGCGCACTGCCTCGGGGCAGAGGGACTGGGACTCGGTGAGGCGGACCTCGGGATATCTGAGTGCTTAGAATGGCCTAATTATGGACAATCAGTTTATGCTACATGTTCTACTATTGGCATTCAAGAGCTGGACCTTTACCTATAGCTTCCACCTGCAATTGGCTAGCGCATCTACCCTTCATTATGACTAGAAATGACCATTGAATGAACTTATACCTTGTCACCCGAGGTTGTACAACATTAAAACCAACCCTATATACATAGATACTAAATAAAATACTTCCCATATAAATAGAAAAAGAAAGGTACAGGCCTCTCTGCCTTCTGCCATTGAAATTGTTGTCCGATCTCTTATCCGGCGGTAAATCGGTAAATCGGGGTCAGGCGAAAAACCACCGCCCGATGGCAAACCAACCTCCTCACGACTCTTGAAAGCCTCAGGGAAAGCACCCCATTCGTTGGATAATCTTTTATATTTATATTCATTGTTGAATAGGGTCCTATTATCCAAACTCTGGTTGTGACGTCGAATCAGGTCATTCACAACCCTTTGTGGACTGTATAGCTTCCCTCTGTTCGACTGCTATTGTCCCTATTCACTTGCTTTCGTGAGTCTTATCGTTCTGTTATACTCTGATTGATCATATTATTTATATCAATTGTTTCTATAGTGCAATGCTGGCCCTATTCAGGAGGAGTCCTTGAGGCTGTACCTGGTGTCTTTATAGCCAGGCTTTCTCTCTCCCTTGAATACTCTCTTTCAACATCCTCTTCTTGTCTCCACGTGGATAGAAGTCTGGAACTTCTATTAACGTGTTTTTACTACATATCTTTGCATCGTGCTTCTGATCAACCCTAACCTTTTCCTTTCCACCCTATCTCTTTTACTCTATACCCATGTCGCTCACTATGGCAACTCTCGATTCCGTCCAGCTTCTTTCTGAAGCAGCATTTGGCTGTGGTAAGAATTGGCAATTGCCGTGGCTTATTTGTGCCCAGCTGACCTCCCGCTAGTACATCTTGCGGCTATTCTCTCCAAGGACGAGAAGACTGCTGGCCAGTTCAGAGAGGAATTCTGCAAGCAATACAAATTGCTAGCTCCGTACTCGAAGACAGAGACGGTTGCTGTTCCAACCACTGGCCTCCGAACTGTGGCGTCCCTCAAGCCGAAGTATCACTGTTTGAGTTGCGCAGAAGTATGCCTGGGTTCCAAGCGAGCGGAACATACTGCGGCGACTGGGCATGTATTTTGTAAGCCAATGGTTTCTGACTGTTCAGTTGTTTTATGCTTATGCAACGGCAGATATCGAGTCTCGCAACCGCTTTGTCTTCTGTGAGAAGTGTGTCGATTTCATCTATGATCACACCCTGGACAGACTCCGTGGCCCTTCTGGCAAGTTTGAAGCCATTGGTGAGTCTCGGGCAATTTCAAATTATCCCGACCATGGACATCTACTAACATCTGGTAGATGGGCGATCTATTTGGGCCGAAGACTCGGTCTCCGAGGTCTACGTCAAGAACAATGCTTACAAGAACCCGTGTGCCATCCGCGGCGCTCGGGGTGTTTGGAACATGGGTCAAACGTGCTACCAAGCTTCTATCTTACAGGCTCTGCTACACGACCCTAGCCTCACTGCTTATTTCCTGGGAGGTGGCCATGACGTCCACACATGCATAATCAAGGACTGTCTCGCCTGTGCGACTGCTGAAGTCTTTATGGAATTCAACAGCGCGGAGAAGAATGAAGCAGTCTCTGCAGCCATGCTTCTTCACCATGGTTGGCAGAAATCCAAGGTACGTCAAGGTCCGAGTTATACAATAGAACTGGCTAACTAGTTTCCAGGAAATGCGTGGATACCGCCAGCAAGACGCCCACGAATACTTCCAATTCCTTGTCAATGAACTGCACTCATCCACCCCCGGACATGTGGAGAGCTATGACAAGCCATGCGAGTGCTTCTTCCATCAGATGTTCTACGGCGAACTGCGCAGCAGCGTCATGTGCCATAAATGTGGCCAAACCACCAACACCCACGACCCCATGGCCGATCTGAGTCTCGATGTCCAGCTTCAGCAAAAGAAGCGCAAGCTTGGTCGCTCTACTTCTTCTTCTACTACTGGAACCCTCCTTGGCTGTCTGGACAGCTTCACCGCCGCTGAAGATCTCCACGCCGATGCTGCTTACCACTGCGAGAAGTGTGGTAACACTCCCCAGAGGGCTTCGAAGCGCCTGCAGATCCGCAAACTCCCTGTTATGCTTTGCATGCAACTGAAGGTTTGTTTGCGTTTCTGACTGTTTTTAAATAAGATCCTATCCTGACTTTCATATAGCGTTATGAACACTCCTCTAACTCATCCGAAAAAATGAATGGTCATATCGACTTCCCTTTGTCTGTGAACATGTTACCTTACACCGTCAGAAAGGACAACCTTCCTGTTGACATGTCGAATTACATATACGACTTGTCCACGGTTATCGTCCACCAAGGGACAATGGACTCTGGACATTACTATGCCTACACCCGTATTGAAAACGACAAGGTTCGTTCTATCTATAACATTTGTCCTCTCCGTGTCTGTGCTTTGCTAATGAGTTACCTTATAGTGGGTACTGATGGACGACAATAAGGTCACCGTCGCCGGTGTGGCCGAAGTCCTCCGCCAGGATGCCTATCTCCTGTTTTACAGCGCTCGTTATCTCCGGGCCGAGAAGAAAAAGAAGTAGATTCTTTATGCACAAACCAGTTCAATTAATAAGTTTCATACGCCAGTTGCACTTCATTCCTTCGCATATACTAGTATTATGCTGTACCATTGTAGACTAAAAGGGTCTTTCTGAACTAAGCTAGTGGGGGACCTCAGGAGGTCCGCGTGAGATCAACTAATTTTGACGAATGGGAACACACTTCAATTTTTATGTCCTTCCCCAGATACTAGAGCGGTTTCTTTGGTGCTGCATTCGAAGCTGGAAACAACAATTTCTACCGGTTCGAATAACTTGGAGACCAGCCTTCAATTGCCTCCTCGGCTGCTTATTACTCGTTCCCTCCGCCCCGATCTAATGCCACCCGAAGCACAATGAGCGGTCTGAAATGAAGCCGGAGTAGGTAGGCTTTGGAGATGATTTAATGGAGCTTATAGTGTCCGAAGACTGACAAGGTCAAAGAGATAGCCGGAAGAGTAAAGTGCGTTGAGTCTTGGGTCGGTGTAAGAGCGGCTACAGTATCTTCTCGTCATGCCGGGTGGCAATATTCAAAGACAAAAAGATGGGCGACGCCGTAGTTCGAACGGTGCATGCATGAACTGCCATTTCATGAAGAAATCGAAAGGCCGTTGATGTGTGAGCGCGTTAGCATCGTAGCAGCACTGAGACGACCTTGGGGACAGGCCACAATGGCATTATGGCGAGTCGATGGTCCTGGCCGTACACCAGCGAAACAACTCCTCCACAGAACCCAATCGTACGGGTACTGCCACATATGGGCACCAAGCATTGGCTTGAGGACGGCATCGTCAACATGCTCCTCGATAGCTTGTTGACAAACCATACGGAAAGCCGCAACGGCCCGTGCCACATAGAAATCGACTCCTCTGAGTTGACGAGCCGGGGATGAGCAGAGGCCTTCACAAGCAGATCATCCTAAGGCATGTCGAGGTCTCGATCATCTCGAGTCACTAACAGT